ATTAGAAGAATGTTATAGATTACAACTATTTATGGCTAAAATTCTTGTTGGTCTCCAAACAGTATATTGAATGTTATTGATTATTTGTGGTCATAGTTTGGTAAGTAAACTGACCTATCTCTCTCCGGCCCCCTCTCCCCCACTTCTATCTCCCACTTTAATAGATAGCAAATATGAAATAATTTCAAGCCATACACTAATCATATGTATCCGGGAATCAGTCAATCAAATGGATATCTGTATCGCACAGAATAATCTACACCTGTTTATAGACTATTGTGTATTGAATTTCACACGAATCCAATGTAATGTATATGATTTGCCAATAGTGTATACACGCTATAAAGCAGTAGCAATTAAAATCACACCACTTTTAAAATAGTACACTATTAAAACTACCTGTACGTTTAGTAATTACCCCGACATTTAAATTGAATAGCCTATTCTCCTCACTCTATTCTAGCTAATCGTACGGTTGACTAGTATTGAATAGGGTAAATGTCAAAGCCAAATATAATGAAGCGAAAGTGGTACAGGTACGTTTAATTGAATTGAATTGAATTAATATATTCAAGTATAGAAATAGAAATAAAATTTGTGCTTTCTCATTTTCATTGCCATCATTACACAACATTAAATGCAAAATCAGATTTAGTGCACATTCACTACATATTGAGTGATACATAAATTAGAAATATATGTGGGTTTTAGAGTACACTATAAACACGTTAAATAAATAGACATTAAAAGGACCGTTAGATTAATCTATGAAAGAGAGAGAGAGAGAGAGAGAGGGAGAGACTGTATGGGAGAGTGTGTGAGAGAGTGTGTGTTTGCGATGAATGCCATGGAATTGCAGAGTTTGTGTACAAGTGTTGGCGCTGTCTATGCGTTGTGAGAGTACAGCGCGAGTCGAGTATTAGTAGTGAACACTAATAGTGAACAACACTTTGCATGAGATGTGGAGTTGACCTAAAAAAGTGACGCTTAAAACAACACAACAAATGTATTCATGAAATTCAAAAGTGAATTATTCATTGATTTACAAAATACAACATTTAATATTAGTATTGATTAATACATGGATTTGTTTTGTGAATAATAATACTTATAATTGATTGTGTGGTTGAATATCGACGGCAACTAAAACAAGAACCAAATGAAGCCATGATCTGAGAGACAACGACCACAACAACAATACCACACAATTTGCCCACATTTTCGTGTTTAGTGTTGACATCGGGTCTGTGATTGCCGGACACCCGCCCCCACACACACACCCACTCACGCCTCCCTCTCTCTCTCTCTCTCCACCCGAACCGTCAGAGTGTGTGAGAGATTGTAACGAAACGATGGCTCAAATGGTTAGACAAATGTCCATAAAATCAACAAATGTTTTACACATTTGTCTCAATTTATATAATAATTAATAAATGCGTTAATAATTGTGAGCCGTTTTTTAATTCAAACCACACATCACTTCGCATACAACTCATCCGATATTTAATTAATTAATTAAAATCCTATATAAATATCATTATTATTATTATAAATCCTGTGTCACAACAAGAAGAGCAAACAAAACACACAATTACTGTTATTTATTATACACGCTATTAAATCAACTCATCAAATAATAATCATCTATATATAAATAATTTTTATTACATTTAGTGTCTGTGTATTATATAATACTATTTAATAAACTAATTAACACTAGGTTTTAATTGAAAGTTTACTTACAAAAGACCACAACATTTATAATGAGTTTTATAATAAGTCGAAAAAAGAAATATAAATTCAATATCGTGTGTGTATTGAACGAGCTGTCATCGGTGCCATTTGTGAACTCGGTCATTTTTGCCAAATGCAGACTATTAGATGGTGGTAACTTTCAGGACACTTGCCGCAGGTATACAACCGTCGTTCCCACACTCGCACCGCCCGTGCGGTCGCCCCAA